CCATGGCACAAAAAGTATCCCTAATGAGACTAAGACAAGTGCATTACTGAGATCCACTGATTGCAGAGACGTGTTTAAACATGTTTTATTTGGAATAAACCTGTGCATGTATGAACTGGAACCCTAGTAGCAATACTTTTTGACTTACCCTTGTAATTATATTGATATGTCAGGTGGTATGTGCTGTGTGGAAAAATGGAGCAGGATAAGGGAGTAGAGAATAATAGATGTGCCGTTTTATCTATCGCCTGGACAGTAAACAGTAAATTATTTTATTCACCTTTAGTTTTTGAAAAAGGGCCCTCTTTCACTGTATAGCTTTCATTCTTGGTAAGCATTGTTATGATCACATAAAAGCAGGAAGATTAACTTTTGCTCTAGGATTTAAATTCTGTCTGGAATCAAATAGAAGTTTTTGAATGTTATAGAATTTAGCTGGTAGTCACCCTAATCATTTTCTATGAAACTTCACAAATGACTCAGTGTACCTTTGTCTTTTAAGGTATTTAATGTTAACGCACCTCTGCCACCACGCAAAGAACAAGAAATAAAAGAATCCCCGTATTCACCTGGCTACAATCAGAGTTTTACTACAGCAAGTACGCAAACACCACCCCAGTGCCAACTGCCAGCTATACACGTAGAACAAACTGTCCTTCCTCAAGAGACTGGTAAGATCTTTGCATATGACATTTTAAAGACTTAGATGACAGCTCACTGAATGGAAAGCAAGTCTGTAGTGACACTTTAGAAGTTCTTTCCTGACTAGTAAGCATTATCTCGTCACATGTTTCTCAAGTGTTGAGAAACACTTCATGCCTTTTCCTTTATTCAGTTAAATTCACCTGTAGAGGTAGAACTTTGATAGTTGATTTAACCTTGAAGTAGGCTTGTATTTTTAATCTAATTGCTTTGAATACCATAGACAGGGATTGAGGTAGTACTTATTTCTTACTTTAAGGAGTACTTGTAGATTTTTAGTTTTGGTATTTCAGAGCCCTATTGAGTTTTCTAAAACTTAAGCGTGAGTAAATGAATGAGCATTCCAGGTACTTGTTGAATCAAATGATGAAGAGGTAGTAAGTGTAAATCCCTGGACCTGGCCACAATGACCTCATTGTTTTCTCACCTGTACTGTGAAAAGATAGGACAAGTGATTTACATAAAGGATATTTTTGTCATGTGATTCCTATTTACAATGTTAATTGGAATTCATTTTCTTTTACTTCCTGCTCTGGAATGTTATAGCCTGTTTTTTTGGAGAAAATTGTATTAAAGGTTTGATGTACAGTGACTTAAGTATAAAGAGTATTGCATCTTTATTACCATTTAATTCTCGGGCTCTAAAACTGTTTCCTTAAGCAGCGAGTTATCCTGATGGAACTATTCAAGTAAGCAATGGTAGCCTTGCCTTTTACCCAGCACAGACGAATATATTTCCCAGACCCACTCAGCCATTTGTCAATAATCGGGGATCTCTTAGAGGATGTGCTCGTGGTGGGAGACTCCTAACCAACTCCTATCGGTCCCCTGGTGGTTATAAAGGTATGCTTTGAATAAAATTTAATTATATTAAATTATTTGGACTAGATAGTTAACAGAGTCCCGGTGGCGTCCTGGTGGTGCAGTGGTTAAGAGCTCAGCCACTAACAAAAAGGTCGGCAGTTCAAATCCACCAGCTGTTCCTTGGAAACCCTGTGAGGCAGTTGTTGCTATGAGTTGGAGTTGACTCGACAGCAACGGGTTTTATATAGTTATCTGACTCAAACCATTTTTTACTTTACCTTGTTTCCTTTGTCATTGCACTTTATGATGTCAGTGCCCATTTATATTTCTCTTTTTGTTTGGTACTTTTTGTATGACTGCAGATTGATCCTGTGACTTATTGAAGTAGAATATTTGACCATCTTGTTTTTCAAGGGATAAATTTTGGTTTTCATATTTGAGTAATTTCTTTTCTTTAATTCCTTTTGTTAATTGATTAACTTTGCTGAAAATATGTCATAATTAGACAATGCCTATTTTCTCCTTATTTGTCTATCAGGCTATACCACTGATAAGAATATAAAATTAGAGATGTAATAGTGATACTCTCTTAAGTTTTAGATATTGTTCCAAGTATTCTAGTTACTGCTTGATACTAGCAAAAATACTCTAGACCGGGCCTTAACTACCTAATTGCCCTACCACCACCCTTTTCGAACCCACATCTATATTCCAGCAATAGTAAATTTCTAAAACTGGCTAATTCAAACAGTGATATCTTACAAATCTATGTTTTACTGTAGAAGCAATTAGTAAAGTTTGCATAAAGGAAGTATAAATCTAAGGATGGCATAGGATCAGTTGAACTTTTAAAACAGGTGTAGAATTAGACTATTTAAAAGTTTCAGTATAATTTTGCTTACAATTTTATTTAAATTATTTGTTTATTTGTTAGGTTTTGATACTTATAGAGGACCTCCTTCAATTGCCAATGGAAATTACAGCCAGCTACAGTTCCAAGCTAGAGAATATTCTGGAACACCCTATTCCCAAAGGGTAAGAATAGTTGTCATAATTGAATAGTGGTACAGTTGTCATTAAGCTGATGATTAAACCGTAACATAATTTGTTATAAAGAAGTGCATTCTTGGTTTTAGAACTACGTGTGTCCTATGGAGAGTCAAGTTGGAAGCTTTTCCAGTAATCCAAAAAAGGATAAATGATAGCTGCTAGTTAAATGGAACTTAAGAAAGTGTTAAGGACTTTATTAGTTATATTGGTTGCATTAACTCACTTTTCCACCCTATAAGACAAACTGGGTTCAGAGGTTAAATATCTTTATCTAAGGTCATTCAACAAGTAAATGTCTACCAAGATTCTAAGTTCAAGTTCTTCTAAGATTAGAACTTGAGTTCTTTAGTATATCGCCTTCAACCTAGCTTGTCTAAATATCAAGTATAGCAAAGTCCTTGTAAGCCTAATTTTTTTGTTCTGATTTGAATAGCTCAGCAATTTTCTTTCTACGTACAGTAAAAGTTTGATAGGTGAATGTTAGACATTTCACTTTAACAAATTTTGGAAACTTCCTGTCGTTGATCATGTATAAATATAAATTTATACTACATCATCATTTTCAGTTTTGAAGTTTAACAAGCCTTTAAGTATGTACATGGTGTACCATACTGATTTCTGTTGGTAATATATGAGTACCTGTACTTGAAGAATTTACTGTTGTCTTGGAATCAGAATGCCTTAGATTTGATCTCTAGTTTCACTACTTCACTTCCTGTGCAACCTTGAGCAAGCATATTGCATTTTCTGAGCGTTAGTTCCTCATCTGTTAGATGTGGACTCATCTCTTAGAGTAAGTCATCTAACTTTCCCGGTTTTATGAGAATTAACTCTGAGATATTCTGAGGATTAAATGAGCTAATACACAGTGCCAGGTGTACATCAAGCATGCAAATACTAACTGTTATTACATCCCCAGATACTGTCTGTTAGGGGAGGGTGTTGATTAATATAGACTAAGTCATGGAGCTATCTGTTCTGTTTATTTTTTTTTTTTAGTTTTTATTGTGAAAATATACACAATAAAACATTTGTCAATTTTAACAATTTCTACATGTATGGAGCTATCTATTCTTAAACACCAATATTCTAGTATTATCTTTTGCTGCTTTAAATTTCTTCCTGAGTAAACATAAATTGATAATAATGCTTGTTATTAGGAAAGGGGACTGAGAGTCTGTGGTAGGAAACTTACTTTTATTGTGTACTTTCTTGTCCTGTTTAAATTTTTTATTGCATGTATTTTTAAATTACAACACTAATTATTCTTTTCACGGGTTGTATGGACTCTGGCTTCCTCCAACTTGGGAGTCAGTTTGAAATGTTGTCTCTTGAACTTTTCTTCTTAATATACTGGACCACATTTCCAGGTAATAAATATATTTATACAATGTAATTCTTATCAGTGTCCCCCTCTTCCCCCCAAAAAAACCCCAGCAGAGTTTATAATTGTATAAGCCTTCACGGTTTGATCTATAAATAGAGCAAGATTGAAAAAGTCTCTTTTTGCTTTATTATCTCCTTTTATATTGAGATGAGGGACAGAGGACTACGCCATATTTCTGAATTCCCATCATACATAGTGTTCTATAAATACTTTGTTTTTAGAAATATTAATATATCTAATTGATTAGGTAAATTAGTAAATGAAGCAAATACTGCTGCTGTTGTCCTTACTTTGTTTTTATTGGAGTTTGGAAATATCTGAGTCTCTTTGGTTACTGTAGAAGGCCAGATGAAGGGCTAAGACGACTTTAATCTTAGAAGTTTATCAGATAACAATCCTCAGTAATAACTAATTGCAGTACTGTGTTTCTGTGTTATTGCCATAGAAAGCACAATTTTGATGCCAAAGTAAATGTTATATGTCCACTTTAGGAAAATTTCCAGCAGTGTTATAAGCGAGGAGCGACATCTGGTGGTCCTCGGGCAAATTCAAGAGGTAAGTGTAATTAACTGAGTTGTTAATATACCCAAATATACTTCTAGGCCTTTCTGTATCCTCTGTCAGATTCTTCCCAAAGCACAGTGCTTTCAGCATTTATTAAAGTTTTGTTTGCTTAAATGTAGTATTGAAGTACTAACGAAGATCTTAGACGTCTAGAAAGGCTGTGGAAACCATTTGTCAATTTAATCAAAAGTGTGTGATTTTTTAAAAATTTGCTTGACACTAGAGTATAATTTAACCTTTGTAGATTTGGAGTCCCTGGGTGGTGCAAACAGCTAATATATTCAGCTGCTAACCTAAAGGTTGGAAATTTGAATCCATCCAGAGGCATCTTGGAAGAAAGGTCTGGCGATCTACTTCTGAAAAATCAGCCATTAAAGACTCCTGAGCGTGGTTCTACTCTGAAACACATGAGGTCACCCTGAGTCTTGAGTTAACTTGATAGCAACTGGTTTTGAGATGTATTTTCACTATGCTGACTTCAAATAGCTTCGTATCATGTTTCAAGATGATTGTTTTTGTGATAATGGGTACTTCTAGATACTGTAGCGCCATGGTTGCATAGTGGTTAATCGTTCCGCTGCTAACCTAAAGGTCAGTGGTTCGAACCCACCAGCCGTTCTGCGGGCGAAAGATGTGACAGTCTGCTTCTGTAAAGATTACAGCCTAGGAAGCTATGGGGCAGTTCTATTCTGTCCTGTAGGGTCATTATGAGTTGAAGTTGACTCGATGGCAAGTTTTTTTTTTTTTTTTTTAAATGATTCTAGATACTTTAGTGTCACTATGTTGATAGATGTGAATAACCAACATACAAGACACAGTGAAACAAAACACGGTACTTGTAAAACTTTTTAAAATATGAAGAGACTATTAAAAGATCCAGTGAAACTGAGAAAATCAAGAAGTACTAAGAATTAACTAACTCTGCCACAGGAAAACAGAATCTTTTCCTTTTGAGAAAGTAGCCAGTACTCAGCGTTGCCTTGCCTTATTTCTGAGCAGTGTTTTTGTGTGTCACCTAAAACAGTAAAATTTCATCATGCCACATTAACTTGGAAATAAAGAACAAGTATTCTTCATGGGGCTCGGTACTATAACAAAATCTCTCTGAATGGCCAATGTCTAGTTGTTATAAAAATTGGTTCTTTCATGTAGTCTCAGTTTTCTTGGAACTGAGTGAGAATTATGGGAGAAAGATAAAGGAGTAAAAGAAGTATTCAGATCTGGGTTTTAGACTTTGCTAACCATAATTTGTTGTAGTAAGTTATCCAGCCTTTTGAGGGCTTCATTTTCTTAATCTTAAGAAGAAAATGAAGCTATTAGATCAGATCATCTAGGTCCCTTCTTGCTTTTGAATAGTAGTATAAAAGCCTTCTTCCAAAAAAAATCTAGAAAAGCATAATCTAGCCATACTTTATTGCTTTGTTTTTTGGAGTTTGCTATAAAATGTATGTTTATCTGTGTTTCAGTAGCCGACTAATGTTAAATATTGTGTTCAAAGCTAACTGCCTCATTATGAGAAACTCACTGTTGCTAATAAAACAGCAGGGTGGAGTGATTCTTCTCAGGTGAGCAGCCCAGAAAGAGACAACGAAACCTTTAACAGTGGTGACTCTGGACAAGGAGACTCCCGTAGCATGACCCCTGTGGATGTGCCAGTGACAAATCCAGCAGCCACCATACTGCCAGTACACGTCTTCCCCCTGCCTCAGCAGATGCGAGTTGCCTTCTCAGCAGCCAGAACCTCTAATCTGGCCCCTGGAACTTTAGACCAACCTATTGTGTTTGATCTTCTTCTGAACAACTTGGGAGAAACTTTTGATCTTCAGCTTGGTAGATTTAATTGCCCAGTGAATGGCACTTATGTTTTCATTTTTCACATGCTAAAGCTGGCAGTGAATGTGCCACTGTATGTCAACCTCATGAAGAATGAAGAGGTCTTGGTATCTGCCTATGCCAATGATGGTGCTCCAGACCATGAAACTGCTAGCAATCACGCAATTCTTCAGCTCTTCCAGGGAGACCAGATATGGTTACGTTTGCACAGGGGAGCAATTTATGGAAGTAGTTGGAAATACTCTACATTTTCAGGCTATCTTCTTTATCAAGATTGAAAGTCAGTATAGAATTGACAATACAAGGAAGCTGTTCTCTTTGGTGGATTAAAGGAAAAGTAGTCCTTGCTCTCATGACTAATTGGCTTAGGAAAATGTTTTCATAGAGAAAGGAGGAGAATCCTTACTTTTTGTTTTTTCCCTCCCCAAGGTTAAAAAATTTCAAGCTGAATAAAAATTAGCACTAATCTGGCACCTTATAAATTGTGATGTAGCCTTGCTAATGAAGCTGTGAATGTATATTGTTTGCACTTAATTCCTTAATTGTATTAATGTTCAGCTTACTAAACTGATTGCCTCAAGTTTAGGCAATTTACAATGCCTTGTTGTGCCTCAGTAATAATAAAAAAATTATATGCACCTTCAGTGTTCCATTTGATTTAAACATTTTCGAGATAAAATATCTAATTTTTTAGTATTTATCACTGATAACTTTTGAATGGATACTTATTCATGGGTTCATTTAAAGTAAGAAGGTTTATGTATATATAACAGCTCCTTCAAAGGTTACTTTTCTCTGATACTATACATGTGATTCATTAGGATTTGATCTGTTTTCCAGGGGCCAAATCACACATTTTCCTTGAAGGTATTCTTCTATTTTACAGCAGGGCATGTCCATCCTTTAGTACCTACTACATGTATAATAATACAAGATACAATAAGGGATATACAGGTAATACTACTGGTCCACTGTCAGTAAGCCTTATGCTTTCTAGCGGGTTCTCAGTTTAATTTGAGGAGGCAAAATGCTTAGTCATTTAAAAAGCATAGGCTCTGTGGTCAGACAATGCTGAGTTTGCATTCTGATTCTGCCACTTAGTAAATAACTGATTTTGGGCAAGTTATTTTACCTCTAAGATCACTCTCTTTAAGCCTGTTTTCCCAGATGTCAAATGAGGATGACAATAGACCAACCTCATAGGGCATTTGGGAAGCTAAACTAATAATATATCTAAGGGACTTAACACAGTGCCAGGCACACAAACATTCGATAAATGTTAGGTGTTAAAATTGTTTTATTTCTTATTCTGAAAAAGTTTCGGGTTTTATGTGTGTGTTGATATACTGTCTTAAGCAGTATAACAGGTATTGCCAGAGTTTAGTATTCATTCTAGACATAGTTGTAACATTTTAAAACACATGGCAACTTAAGCTTTTATATCTTTCTCATAGTTATTTCCTACATGGATTGATTAATAATAACTTAATGTTTATCAAATATTTTAAAGAATGCTTTGAAAAGTGAGCATTTTGATTGTAATATTCAGGAATATATCAACGGTTTGAGAACAGCATCCTTTCTTTTCAACTGAGACAAGTCACTTACTGAGGCAGAAAGTTGTTTCAGATTCTTCTTTCATCTCAGGAGGATGGTGTAAGAGCATTACATTATTATACTTAATATTTTTGAGCTGGAGGATGGGTTCAGCAATTCAACCCTGAAGCCTCTATGGTATTACATTTTAGTATAGGGTGTTCAGGATACAGGATGTAATGTGATTCATTATCTCCTGGTAGGTACTTGTTGGTTAAGAATATTAGTATTCCAGTTAAATAAATTAATTCATGGCTTTCATGTCGAGAACACAAACTAAAAAGTATATAGAAAAGCAATAATATGACTGAATGGTTGAAGAGAAAATCTGATGTTTAAGAGCAGTTGGTGATCAGGTTCACTGAGATCTTTTTTAGGTTTTTTCTGCTACATTAGGGTCTTTAGCTTAGTCTTTTTCTTCCACATGCAATTCAATGTTAATTTACTATATTGAGAGTGACTGTTTTATTTAATAGAAGTGTCCAACAAGAGATTCATTAGGGTATTCCCTCATAATGATAGTCATGTTTTAGGATAGTATTTAAAATGAAATACTATTTTTCTAAGTTGTAAAGACAAACTAGAAATTAGCTATTCTTAGATTTATGAGGATGAATGATCAAGATCTTCCATTCGGAAGCAGTGTAATTTTTTGAAGACAGTTCTTTTGGAAGATTTTAGTAAAAGCTCAGGTATCTTTACAGAGATGTACATATGCACAGATTTTATACATATTTGCAAGGGATGGAGTAGGGATTCATAGAGATGTAAAGCCCATTTATGGACCGTATAAAGAACTTAATATTTTACCAGAAAGATCTTGTTGTATATGTAACAGAAGTGGAAAGACATTCCGTATAATTCCGATATAGCCCCTGAAAATATAAATCCTTAGTTGTCTTACTGGAGATGGACATGGGGAAGGTACAGTAAATTTGCTATTACGTTCTCGCCTAAGTTTTTTCTCTCACTTTTAATTTTTTAGTCTTTTGTTAAATGACTTTCCCCCTCCCCCAAGAATTGTGAGCTCCTGCCTCCTATTGCCTCTAAAATGATTTAGTGAGTAAATGCAGGTACTTAAAGCAGGAAATGTTTTTTGAGATATTCGCTTATTTGCTCCCTGTTCCAGTTATTTGTCAACTATCCAATTTTTTGTTTCAGTTTCTCTATAACAGCTGTATTTTTACAACTCTTTGATATCATATACTATGTCTTTATATTTTAATCTTTCTGTTTGCTAACTCCTTAGCTTTAATGATCTGATGTTCTGTTGTGATCCTTGTGATAATTAGGATGATATTTTATGTATTTTGTAAGGTGAAATACTTTTTAGCATATAGACTTTAAAGTTTTTCCATATGAATTCCACACCCCTTCCTTGCCACTTTATATAATTTTGATTAAAAAATTAATTTGTCTTTCTAGGTCCCCTACTTGATAATTTATCTCAGGGGTATTTATTTTTTAGTAGACTTTATATTTTAGAGCAGTTTTAGGTGTACAGAAAGATTCTGTGGAAAGTAGAGAGTTCACCCTCTCCTCCCTGCACGTTGTTTCTCCTGTTAACATCTCACATTCCCGCGGTACATTTGTTCATATTGATGAACCAATATACATTATTACTAACTAAAGTCTATAATAACATTAGGGTTCACTCTGTTGTACAGTCTTATGGGTTTTCACAAATGCTTCCTGTCATGTGTCTACCATTACAGTATCATCCAGAATATTTTCACTGTCCTCAAAATACCCACACCGGTATTCTTAATCACCACTTTAGTGATTAAGTCAATAGATTTGTCTTAATTTTTCAGCTTTTGGGCAAGTGTTAGAGACAACTGATATGTACAACTCAGTTTCCCAGTGTAAGATATTGAATGCCAAATTTTAACAAGGGGTCTTGGTGCTTTCGTCTGTGTAGTTTCACTTGATCCTACAAGAGCCCTGGTGAGGTAGGTTCTGTTTTAGGAGATAAGAAAATGGAGGCTCTTGGAGATTGATTTTCTAAGCCTGTTAGCAGAAGTACCCGAGCCAGGCTTGGCTCTCCCAAGTCCAGGTACAGTGTAGCATTTTCTACAGTACTTTTTCTACTTGCTTAGTTCTCTAGTGTTGCTGCTTTCACCATATTTCCCACTGCTATCTTGCATACACGCACATTTTTGGTGTACTACTCCATTTTGCTATGGCAAACTGCATTTTGTGAATGTACAAATTGAACTCATTTGAGGTTGTCTTAATTTGTAGTTTCTCTGAAGCCGAGTTCAGGGGGTGCCTCCTTTGATGTGTAATGTGGAAAGCCTGAGGAAGTGAAGAAACAATGTTTTGGGAAGAAAAAACCTGATCTGAAAGTAAATATTACACCTTTAGTCCCAGTTAATATTGCTATCTTTAGCTTTCACCCCTCCCTTCCCATACTATTTTAGTCTCTAGAGGAGGAAGTCTCTTCTGCCTTCTGCTGAGAAACTTCCTAACACTGCCTAACCCCCTATGACTTTGGCTTATATATCCCTAAATTTGTTTTAAAAAATTCCCCTTTAACTGCAAGGTTTGTCACATTCTTTTAAAATAGTCTACTCAGGACTTTTAATTACATGTGACTTTTTAATGGAGATTACCATTGACTTCTGTCATATTAACAAAATACTAAAGATCTTACATTTTACAAGATGTTATGTATATACTCATGCGTGTAAATCAGGTGCCGTAGTATAGACATCTGCCGCTATTTTCACTTTTGGGGTAAAGGTATTTAATCACAAACTTTGCAGTATTCACTTACTGAATATGATTGTTTAACATGGTGTAAAAGATGCGTTACTAAACTTACAGATAGGGATCTTTGTAAACTGGTTTTTAACTCCCATTTTCTGTTTACCATATGGACTAGACACAAGCCTACTAACATAGACCAGCAGATGAGCTACTGTCAACAGATGGGGAGGACAGCTGTGTGCTATTCCATTTAGAAGACTAAAATGGTAAATCTCAAAAAAAGGCTGCAGTGCCAGTGCTTGGAGTAAAAATTACTTTCTGTAACTGGAGCTGTGTAATCATGCCGGTTATTCTCTATACTATAGCCCTAGGGTAATGTCACTCACTTATGGTGTCAACTACCCTATATATACACACAGATGACTCACAGTTCTCTAATTCCTTTCCTTTATTCCTTCCTCTTCCCCTGCTACAGCTTCCTGCCTCCTCCCCCAGCTCTTTTGTGAGTAGCAGATGTGGATTTCCAGTTGTTCACTTGAAATCTCTAGCTGCATAACCCATAAGTGCTTCTAGCACAACACATCCAAAGGCAAAACTCATCCTTCCCCCAAAATTTACTTCTGTTTTTCCTGGTTAATGACTTGCATTAATCATCAAAGCTCGAAACTTTAGAATCATTCTTGACTTCCCTTTGTTACTTTATATACCTAATCAGTCACAAATTCCTATTGATTCTACCTGTGAAATATTTCTTATATGTCTTAACCTTCTTTATTCCTACCGTGGATATCATATTTCAGACCTCTGTCTCAGGGCTCCCTGGGTAGTGCAAATGGTTAAGTGCTAGACTAGCCAAAAGGTTGGTGGTTTGAACCCACCAGAGGTGCCTCAGAAGACAGGTCTGACAGTCTGCTTCCAAAAGGTCACAGGGCCATTTCAAGAATTTTATATAAATGGAATCATACAGTATGTGACCTTTTGGGATTGGCTTTTTTTCACTCAGCATTCTCAAGATTGCATGTTTCAATAGTTCATTTTATTGCTCACTATTCCATGGTATAGATGTATCACAGTTTATTCACCTGTTGAAGAGCATCTGGGTTTCCAGTTTTTGGCTGTTAGGAAAGAATAAAGCTGCTACAAACACCTGTGTACATGTTTTTGTATGAACACAAGTCTTCATTTCTCTGGGACAAATATCCAGGAGTGCAATTGCTCAGTCATACGGTATTTGAATGTCCAGTTTTTTTAAAAAAAACTGCCAAACCTTTTTTAAATGGCTGTACCATTTTACAGAGACCTGACTCGAAGGCAGTGGGTTTGGTAATGGA